ACTGTGGCTGTGCAGGAGCTTCGGAAGCTTTCTCAGGTGGCGCTCCTCTGAGCTAACAGATGGGAAGGCATTTTGCCTTGTGTGCTATCTGGCTCATCAAAAATTTCACCTGTGATTATACAAGTAAATCCTGCCTTCATTGTGCTAGGAGAGGCCCAGTGATAGGAAGAAACCAGGTCTTTGTTTATGAAGGAGTCTTTAAAACCATCCCCCGTGGTAAGGTCTGTTGGGCAAGTGGAGATGCACCTTGCACGTAGAAGTTAAGGGGTCTCTACCTCTTCTGCTGAACATGCCAAGTGCTGTATCTGCACCACCAGCCCTCGCAGCAACCTGAACTCGTGCTGATGGGGCCCTCAGCTGGCACATGAGGCCCAGACGAGGCCTGGCTGGTGGGGAGTGGGCCTGCAGCAAGGCCTCGCCTGCCCACCGGCCCGGCCCACATGAGCGGCGTCTGCAGTGAGGCAGAAGGGTAGGCACTGGAGGGGAGATCAACTGAGATCCTCTAGGACCAGAACTTTGTAACTGAGTAATCCTGCAGCAGCAATCACCCTGCTCTCCTGCCTGTTTTCAAAGAAGAGGATTATTTAACTGCAGGGTGGAAAATAGCCTTGCTTCTTATTTGGAACAGCTTAGAAAGGATTTGATGAAGTCTCTGGCAAATCCGGAGCGCTCTGGTGTGTTTCCAGTGTAAACTGAATGCCTGGGAGAGCTGTCTTCTCTGTAGAGGTTGACATCTGCGTCCTGGGTGTAGTCACGTTCTCTTACCTCACCGTGTGCCTGCCCTCTGGGCAGCTCCTGTGGACGGCCGGCCCTCTCGCCCCCCAGCAGGGACTTCGGGAAGCCTCCGCCCTAAGCAGCTTTGTCGTTGTTGTTAGGTCCCGTCGAGTTGGCTCAAACACATAGCTACCATATGTACAAGAGAACGAAACTCTGCCCGGCCCCGCGCCATCCTCACTATCGTTGCTGTGTTTGAGCCTATTGTTGCAGCCACTGTGTCAGTCCATCTCATTGAGGGTCTTCCTCTTTTTGCTGACCCTTTACGTTACCAAGCGTGATGTCCTTCTCCAGGGACTGGTCCCTCCTGATAACATGTCCAGAGTACATGAGATGCCTCTAAGGAGCGTTCTGATTGTACTTTTTCCAAGAGAGATTTGTTCGTTCTTCTGGCAGTCCATGGTATATTTAATATTCTTCACCAACACCACAATTCAGATGCATCAGTTTATCTTCGGTCTTCCTTATTCATTGTCCAGCTTTCACATGCATATGAGGCAGGTGAATATACCATGGCTTGGGTCAGGTGCGTTTAGTCCTTAAAGTGACATCTTTGCTTTTGAACACTTTAAAGAGGTCTTTGCAGCAGATTTGCCCAATGCAATAACATCATTTGATTTCTTGACTGCTGCTTCCATGGGTGTTGATTGTGAATCCAAGTAAAATGAAATCCTTGACAACTTCAGTCTTTTCTCATTTATCATGATGTTGCTTATTGGTCCAGTTGTGAAGATTTTTGTTTTCTTTATGTTGAGGTGTAACCCATACTGAAGGCTGTGGTCTTTGATCTTCACCAGTAAATGCTTCAAGTCCTCTTCGCTTTCAGCAAGGAAGGTTGTGTTATCTGCATAATGCAGGTTGTTAATGTGTCTTCCTCCAATCCTGCTGCTGCATTCTTCTTCATATAGTCCAGCTCCTTGGATTATTTGCTCAACATACAGATTGAATAACTATGGTGAAGGGATACAACCCTGATGCACATCTTTCCTAGTTTTAAACCATGCAGTGTCCTCTTGCTCTGTCTGAACAACCACCTCTTGGACTATGTACAGGTTCCTTATGAGCACAGTTAAGTGTTCTGGAATTCCCATCCTTCTCAGTGTTATCCATAATTTGTTATGATCCACACAGTCAAATGCCTTCGTGTAGTCACTAAAGCACAGGTAAACATCTTTCTGGTATTCTCTGCTTTCAGCCAAGATCCATCTGACGTCAGCGGTGATACCGTCGTTCAGAGTCCTGTTCTGAATCAGCTTGAATTTTTGGCAGTTACCTGTCGGTGTACTGCTGCAACCGTTTTTTAAATTATCTTCAGCAAAATTTTACTTTTGTGTGATATTAATGATATTGTTTGACATTCTCCCTTCTCCAATTTATTCCATCACCATTATCTTCAATTCACTGCCCCCTAGGCTTCCCATCAAAGCTTTGGAATTGCTGTTGTCAATTTGATCTCACATAGATAATTCTTTTTTTGTACTTTAAATGAAGGTTTACAGAACAGAATAGTTTTTCATTAAACAGTTAGTACACATATTGCCCTGTGACAATGGCTGACAAACCCCTGACACGTCAACACTGTCCTTTCTCAGCCTTGGGTTCCCTGTCACCAGCTTTCCTATCCCCTCCTGCCTTTTAGTCCATGTCCCTGGACTGCTGTGCCTCCTTAGTCACGTTTTGTTTTATGGGGCTGTCCAGTCCCCGGCTGAACAGTGAACCTCGGGAGTGACTTCACCACTGGGCTAAAAGGGTGTCTGGGGGCCGTACTCTCAGGGTTTCTCCAGTTTCAGGTCAGTAAATCTGGTCTTTACTTGTTTGTTAGAATTTTGTTCTACATCCTTCTCCAGCTCTGTCCAGAACCCTCTGTTGTGATTCCAGTCAGAGCAGTCAGTGGTGGTAGCCGGGCACCATCCAGCTGTACTGGACTCAGTCTGGTGGACGCCTTGGTAGCTGTGGTCCATTAGTCCTTTGGACTAATCTTTTCCTTGTGTCTTGTTCTCTTCATTCTCCCTTGCTCCCAAAGGGGTGAGACCAGTGGAGTATCTTAGATGGCTGCTCACAGGCTTTTAAGACCCCAGATGCTACACACCGAGGTAGAATGCAGAACATTGTCTTTATAAATGGTGTTATGGCAGTTGAGCTAGATGTTCCCCAAGACCATGGTCCCCACAGCCCTCCACCCAGCAGTTCAGTCCTTCAGGGAGTTTGGATGTGTCTGTGAGCTTCCATGACCTTTCCTTGTACAATGGATATCCCTCGTTCAGAGTCCTGTTCTGAAACAGCTTGAATTTCTGGCAGTTACCTGTCAGTGCTGAAGCAAAATTTTACTTTCGTGTGATATTAATGATATTGTTCGATAATATCCGCATCCTGTTGGATTACCTTTCTTTAGAATGGACACATATGTGGATCTCTTCCAGTTGGTTGGCCAGGTAGCTTTCTTCCTAATTTCTTGGCATAGATGAGTGAGTGCTGTCAGCGCTGCATCTGTTTGTTGAAACATCTCAATTCCTGGAGCCTTGTTTTTCACCTGTGCTTTCAGTGCAGCTTGGACTTCTTCCTTAAATACCATCAGTTCTTGATCATATGCTTCCTCCTGAAGTGGTTGAATTTCATCCAATTTTTTTTTTGTTACAGTGACTCTTGTGTATTCCTTCCATTTTCTTTTGATGCTTCCTGCGTCGTTCAGTATTTGCCATAGAATCCTGCAGTATTGCCACTCGAGGCTTGAATTTTTCTTCAGTTCTTTCAGCTTGAGAAATGTTGAGCCTCTTCTTCCCTTTTGGTTTTCTAACTCCAGGTCTTCGTATATTTCATTATAATACTTTACTTTGTCCTCTCCAGCAGCCCTTTGAAATCTTTTGTTCAGCTCTTTTACTTCATCATTTCTTCCATTTGCATTAGCTACTCTTAGGTTCAAGAGCAAGTTTCAGAGTCTCTTCTGCCATCTTATTTTGGCCTTTTCTTTCTTTCTTGTCTTTTTAATGACCTTTTTTTACTTTCTTCACGTATAATGTCCTTGCTGTCATTCCACAACTTGTCTGGTCTTTTGTTCATTAATATTCAGTGCATCAGATCTGTTCTTGAGACGGTCTCTAAATTCAGCTGGGATGTACTCAAGGTTGTACTTTGGTTCTCATGGACTTGGTTGAATTTTCTTCAGCTTCAACTTCAACTTACACATGAGCAATTGATGCTCTGCTGTGCGGTTGGCCTTGTTATGACTGATGATATCGAGCTTTTCCATCATCTCTTTCCACAGTCGTAGTCGATTTTGATTCCTGTGTATTCTGTCCAGTGAGGTCTACATGTGTAGTTGCTGTTCATGTTGATGAAAAAAGGTGTTTGCAGTGAAGAAGTCGTTGGTCTTGCAGAATTCTCTCGTGCTGTCTCCGTCATCATTTCTGTCACCAAGGCCGTATTTTTCAACTACCAATCCTTCTTCTTTGTATGTTCCACGCTCCAGTTATTAGTGGATGTTTGCAGCTGTTTCTTCATTTAAAATTGTACCACGTCAGCAAGTGAAGGTCCCGAAAGCTTTACTCCATCCACGTTATTATGTTCGGCTCTACTTTGAGGAGGCAGCACTTCCCTAGTTGTATTTTGCGTGCCGTCCAACCTGAGGTGCCCATCTTCTGGTACTGTATCACACAGAGTTCCAGTGCTATTAATAAGGTTTTCACTGGCCAGTTTTCTCAGAAGTAGACCGCCAAGTCCTTCTTTCTAGTCTGTCTTAGTCTGGAAGCTCCAGGAAACCTGTCCAGTCTGGGTGATCCTGCTGGCATTTGAAACACTAGTGGCATAGTTTCCAGCATTGCAGCAACATGCAAGCCACCACCATATGACAGACTGGCAGAGGAGTGGTAGCTAAGGGAAGAATCATCTTGCCCCAGAGTCTTCTCATGGGCTGTCTGATGGGCTGGCTGTGTTTGAATGACAGCCACATCAGAGTCTGGCTTCCAGCAAATAGCTGTCTTCTAATAGGACTGGAGGCCGCTGCTTGCTTTGCTCAACAGATGTGAGCTCTGTAATTTCCAGGCTGAACCTATGCCTTCAGGGCACATTAGAGAGGTTTGCCCTCTCTTGGCCTTTTGTAAGATCTCATTAAAAATATTTTTCGTTGTTGTTTGGTGAAGTTATTAAAACTTTAGTAAAATCAGATGATTTATTCTATTCTGGTAAAATGACCAATTATTATAGTTTGACTTACCTCTTTTATTTTGCAGATGATGTCTTTCTGCCTAAAGATATCGACCTAGACAGTGTGGATATGGATGAAACAGAGAGGGAAGTGGAGTACTTCAAAAGGTAAACATTAGGACAGTGTGTCTGAATAGTGATGGGTTTGTGACCCTCCCATAGCACTTCCAGGTCTCCTAGATGGAAGTTCCATCAGCCAGTCAGACAGCCTGGCTGCCAAGTCAGATTGTGGATGACAGGCCTGCCACTCATGCTACCCACAGCCCCACATTTGCACACACATGCTGTCACCTTCTCACTCACCTCACACTTGTACACTCCCCCCTTCACGACTGCAGAGAATAGTTTGTGGCAGTGGTTCTTACAGTGGCCCTGGACCCGCAACATCTCCAGGAACACCTGAGAAATGCAAACACTCAGGCCTCTCCCACGCCTGCCGAATCCAACTCAGCTGGGGCCCAGCAGTCTATTCTAGCGAGCCTCTGATCTGCTGGACTCAAGTTTGACAACACCGATACGCCATATTTTTAATAGAGAGTAACATTGATATTTGAGCAGACATTATCAGTACTGTGTTCAATAGTTATATGAGTATGGTAAGGAAATTTTATTTTTTCTTTGGAAGTACTTTATCCTCTTTATTTCAAATAGAAACACACAAAAGGAGCAGTTAGTTTGCATTGCAAAATGGTCATTAACTTATATCTTAAATACTATAAAATCGTAACCGTTTTTGGAAATTATATATTTATATTTATTATATATATATATGATCACGATTATCATGGTAGGTGGTGAAAAGCACATGCTAAAGTTAAACATCCATTCGTAATAAAAACTCTCAACACACTGGAATAGAAGGGCACTTTCTGAATATAATATGAAAGTATCCATAAGAAAAACTTCAGCACATACCATACTTAATGGTGAAATGTTAAAACCTATCCCTTGAGATTAAAAAAAAAAAGACAGGTATGCCTATTACCACAACCTCTATTTGTAAAGGCATAAAAAGAAAAAAAAGGGATAAGAAATGAAATTGTCATTATTCTCAGAAGATACTATGTTTTACAAAAAAGTTCAAAAGTACATAGGTAAATTTCTTGTGTTATTAAGGTTGGCAGTGTTGTTGGATGCAAAGTCAGTGTACAGAATTCTCCTTCTGATATCATGAACAGCTAGTAGTTCAGAAGAGACCTTTTCCCCCACCCCCAGGCCTTAAATCACACTCTTCTACTCCTTAAAGTATTTCTGGTCTTAGAATAAGCAAGCTTTCTAGGAACCGTCTCCTGTCCCCAAAGAAGCAGATGTGAGCTAAGCCAGTATTGGGTGGGATAAGGGTGCTGGGGAGACTGGGAGTCTGGATTTCCTAGAACTGAGGTGGGAATACCAAGTGTACTGGGCCAGCAATACCTGGGAATGGGTCAGGACCTCAAGGAACCACAGCCAGGGGAGAAGGGAGCCAGGGCTGGAGCTAAATTGGTAGGGAAGGGTAGGCTCACTCTGAGGCTGGATTCTGGAGTACTGGAGGGCACTTCCTAGCTATAGGCAGATTTTAGAGAGAAATTTCCTCAAGGTAGGCCTGTAGGACTTCCACACTTTAAAATCATGCATGACCTCATAAACAAAGATTCTCAAACACCCAGGACTTGGGGAAAACAATGAAAAAACTAGAAATAAAAAATGAAGTTGTTAAAATCAAGACTCAATAGATGACAAATACATTAGACCCTGTTGAAGAGGGAATTAGTGGATTGGAGGGCATATCTAGCAAATGTATTGAGAATACGCAGTGATATTAGGAAAATAGAAAATATGAAAGGGGTTAGGAGACAGAGGAGAGACAAGTAGGTTTAACAAACATTTAACTGGAGAGCACTCTAAGAGAAAATGTAGAGAATACAGAAAAACTCAACAGTCAAAGAGATGGTGCCTAAGGTTTTTGCAGAACTGATGAGAGATATGTGTCTACAAAGCCAAAATTACAAGTAAAATAAACAAAAATCCACTCTTAGACATAGCATATAAAACTAAGGAGCATCAAAAAAGAAAAGGAAAGATCACCTACAAATGAGAGGTGGTTAGAATGAAGCAGACTTTTTAGCAACATAAACTAGAAAACAGTGGAGTGGTATTTATAAAACGTTGAGAAAAAACTGTCTAGAATTTTTACGTACCCAGCAAAACTATTCTTCAAGAACAGGAATGAAATAAAAATGTTTTCCCATAATAAAGAAAAACTGCTACCAAGAGACCTGCCTGAATGGAAGCATCTCAAATTATACTTCAGGAAAAAAGAAAGATGTTCCCAGAGGGACAGTGTGATTGCAGGGAGGACGAGAAACACAGAGGCCAGTAAGTCTAGGTTAGCAGAAACATAGTAATGGTTTCTCATTGGCAGGATTGAAAGGAAAAGAACTGCTGCAGTATTAATTGCAATATATGCAAGTTAGTAGAGAAAAGATCAGAGCTGAGCCTTCTCCGGTCCTTTTATTGTTTAGGTGGGCAGTTAAGATACTTAACATTCGGGCTTAAGTGGTCATGGTAAAAATTCAAGGGCAACTATTAAAAGCATAGAAAGAGGGTGTATGAATTGCAAACCAATAGGAAAAAAAAATGGGGTGAGGTAGAACAACAACAAAATCAAAACCCAAAGAGAAAAAAAAGTGGTATAAATAGAAATTGGAAAAGATGGCAGTCATAAGTCCAGTTATGTCAGTAGCTACAATAAACAGTAAGTAGACTAAAAGGAAATAGATTGTTAGATTATATTTACAAATTTTATTTCTGTACACACACACGGAGTTTACAAGGACATACCTCAAGTATAATGAAGTGGAAAGATGCACATAAAGGAAAAGGACAAAGGTTTGTGAGCTAAAAGGAAGCTGTTGTAGTTTTGTAATAGGAGACAAAACTGAAACAAGCATCGTTGGAGATTTTAAAAAAACGTTTCCATCCGGTCAATTCCGACTCATAGCGACCCTATAAGACAGAGTAGAGCTGCCCCAGAGGGTTTCCAAGGCTCTAATATTTATGGAAGCTGACTGCCACATCTTTCTGCTGTAGAGTGGATGGTGAGTTCAAACAGCTGAACTTTTGGTTAATAGCTGAGAGTTTAACCCCTGCACCACCAGGGCCCCTTACATTATTGGGGATAGAGAGATTATTATGTAATGACAAAGGGTTCAGTTTATCAGGAAGAAATAGACATTTGAAACATTTACACATAATAGTCTCAAAATACAAAATGCAAAAATGGTTGGAATGGCACAGAGAATCAGATGAATCCACCATCCTGGTTGGAGATTTCAGCCTATTTCTGTGCGTTATTGATGGCTCAAGCAGTCGTAGAATACGCAGAAACGTAGGAGATTAGAATGGCTTGGCTAATGAATGTAGGTGGAGCATTGCACCCAAGAAAGAGAGTTTGCATTCCTCTTGGGCACACGGCAACAGCCACAGAAACTGAACTTGCACTAGGCCCCATAGAGCAAGGCTCACCGCCACAGAGAACGAGTATCACGGTTGTGTGCTCTCTGACCACAACACCTTTAAGTTGGAAGTTTGCTGTAAATTTTAAGATCCCTAAGTATTGGAAAGTGTAAAAGTATATAATTTTAAATAACTCGTGGGTCAAGTGAAAAACCATAGTGGAGATTTTAAAACAGGAAGAACTAAAAGGTAATGAAAACATTGCGTTTGAAAATTTATGGGATCCTGACAAGATTTTGTTTCAGAGCCCTTTATGTAAAGCCTTAAATGCCAAAACTAGTTTAAAAACAAACCAAGAAGCTGAAAATTAGTGAGTTAAAGATTTCATTTGAGAAATTAGGGAAAGAACAACAGAATAAACACAAGAAAGTAAAAAAAAAAAAAAAAGAAAAAAAGAATAAGAGAAATCAATGAAACACACAACCAAGATATGACAGAGAAGATCAACAAAGCCAAAATGTGATTCTTTGGAAAGACTTACTGATAAATAAACCTTTGGGAGACTGGTCAAGCAGAAAAAGAAAAAAAAAGTCAAATGCCATAGTAGATGAAACAAGGAATGGGATGTTGATAGTTGTCAAAAAGTTGGGTGATGTCTCCATGGGGCTTATTACACTATACTTGTTACTTTTATGTGTGTTTGGAAATTTCCATGAATAAAAAGGTTTCCTTTCATTTTGTAAATGTGTAAGTGAAAAGGGGGATATAACTACAGGTACTGCAGAGATTAAACTATAATAAGAGAATACTTGGAAGAGCATCATGACAATTTAAAAACTTAAATGCAAAATCATTCCAAGGAAAAATAAGAAAGCCTGAATGACTCAGTAGCTGCTGAAGAGACTGAAGCAGTAGCTGTAACTCATCCCAGAGAGGAAACTGCGTTCCAGCAGCTTACACCAGATTCTCCCAAACTTACAAAAAACAGAGTATACCAGCCTTGTACAAACTCAACCAGAGGATTTAAACAGAGAGGGACTGCACACCCAAGAGAATCCTCCTCATTTAATGAGACAAGGAAAATTTTGATACCAGAATCTGCCAAGGACAATACCAGAAAAAGAAAAAATTACAGGTTTGTCTCACTCATGAATATTAGATGCAAAACTCCTAAAGAAAATACTCAAACGAGATCTAACCCCAAAAGGCATGACCAAATTGGTTTATCCCAAGAAAGCAAAGTGTTTAATACTAGAAATCTGCTAATGTTATTGGCTATGTTAATATGTTAAAAAAAAAACAAAAAAGCTATATGATCATTTCAGTAGATTGAGAAAAAGCATTTGATAAAACCTTAACTCCGTGTATAATTTTAAAAAGAAAAGTAGTTAACTAGTAACAGAAGGAAACATTATCCTAAATGGGGAAATGTGCTAGCATGTACAAAATAGAAACGTTCTCTGTTTCTACTTCTGTTCAACCTTGAATTGTGGCCGGCACAACAAGACAAAAGAAATTAAAGTCTTAAGGAGTGGAAAGCAGGAAATAAAACTCGAATTTTTACAGACGATATAATTGTCTACATAGTCAGTAGAAAAGAATGTGTAGGACACTTAGTAAGGGGCCTGCCTTAGCAGAACTGTACAGAAGTTATTTGTTTTTCTCTATGCCATCAAGAGAAAATACGATAGCACCAAAAGCTACGAAGTGTCTGCTGGTAAATCTTAACAAGAGATGCACAAGATTTGTATACAGAAAATGATGAAACTTTTCTGAACAACATTACAGAACACCTAAGTAAAAGATGTGAGATTCTGTATTCACAAATAGGAAGAGCTAATGTCATAAAGCTGTTGGATTTCCTAAAGCTTATCTGTAGATTTAATCCAGCCCTGGTCAAAACACAAGAAGGGCTTTTGTGGAGTTTTAACACGGTGTTTCTAAAACCCGTTGGGATGGGTAAGTTGTGACACAGCCATAGGATGAAATGCCGTACAGCAGTGTAAAGGGCTGGATGGGGTGGTATGCAACACAATGACTCTTACAAAATAGTCAAAGCAAAGCACAAAATAATATATATAATTCTATTTATATAAATTCCAGAAGCACGCAAAACAAAGTGTATTGTTTAGTAAACCTACCCTTCAGTCCAGCTTCCCCACTCGTGGGCACCTGCCAATACGAAGACTCGTGCACAGTGTTCTCAGAAGTTTTATTTGTAAGAGCCAAAACCTGAGAACACCCAGCTGTCCATCAGCAGGTGGATAGATAAATACAGCATGGCCCTCCCAGCACTACTCAGCAATGCAAAGGAACAAGCAACCGATGGCACAGCACCGTAGACGCTGCTCAGAAACGCACTGAGTGAGGGAAGCCAGACAGGATGCGTACTGTGTGCTTTCATTTCTGTGAAATCCCAGAAAATGCAGATGAGTCCATAGTGCAGCAGATCCTTGTTTGCCTGGGGCTAGGGTAGCGCGGGGCCTGACAGCAAAGGGGCATGAGGAAGTTTTGGGGCTTGGTGGCAATGCTCAGTATCTCGGTTGAGGTGGTGGTTGGATGTGCAGCAGTCAGCATATCTACAGCTGTACGTAATTACCCATAGATTACACCTTGATAATTCGATTTCAAGAAATTAAGCATATTGTTTAGGGTTACATAAATACGTGTTAAAACTATAGGGGAAAGCAAGGCAGTGACCACCATGAAAAGTCCGGGTGGTGATTACGTCTCGGGAAGGGGAGGGCCGTACCTAAGAGCATTGGGGGGTGTCGCCTGGGTGCTGATAGAGTCACATCTGGACCTTGGTCGATACACAGTGTTTGTTTTGTAATTATTCTCTGGAGTACACATTTGTTTCACTCGCCCTTCTACGTTGTCTGTCACATTTTATCAAAAAAAGTATACCACCAAGGACTGATATAACATGTCTGAGAAGAATTGAAAGAACAAGGAGGGGTAGGTATCCTGCCCTTTATAAAGACTTCTAAAGTCATGCCCTTAAAATGTTGTGATATCCGTGCAGAGATGGGTAACCAGCAGACAGAAGACACAGCCCAGAAGCAGACTAACCTGGCCCTAATGGACAAGGCGGGTCAGCAGGCTACTGGGAAATGAGGCCCTGTCTATGAGTGGAGCTGTGAAAAGTTGCTATCTATATTGGAAAACTGGAATTGGATCTCTCTATCATGTCATACTCAGATGTCAGCTCCGGATTGTAAAAGTAGTGTGGTGTCAGAGACCTCGCCTAATTTCAGGAGGAAGAGAGAGAATCAAGATCAGCATCAGCCCAAAGCAGATTCCCATGAGATGGAGGTCAGAAATACCTCAACCCTCCAGCCTGTTTACCAATTCTGACACCAGCCATCCCTCCCACGGCACTCTCTACTCTCTCTGCTGGGTTCAATAATTCGTTGCAGTGGCCACGAACAATCACAGACCATACTCATGATTATGGGGTTTATTAGGGAAGTAACAGGTTATAATTCAGGATCAGGATCAACTTGGAATAACAAACAATTCAGGATACAGTTCTTCAATCAGGGCAGCAGCTTCTCAGCAATTCCTGCAGGCAGGCCTCTCTCGGCCGTCTGCCTGGCCTCTGCCTTTCCTGGGCAAGTGTTACAAAGCTCTTTAGCTCTCCTGAGGTACCCCACTCTACCTGGAAGCCTCTGCCCGAAGGCTCTCAGCTCTCTTGCTCCGTGGGCCAGGAAACACCCTGCAGCCACCCCGCTCAGTGGGCCAAGAAGCCCACTGTGCCATCTTGCATTGCTGCTGCCTACAGTGTTACAGCTATCTTCATCTCCTGGGTCTAGGAGGTTCTCAGCACAGGGACTCCAGGTCCAAAGGACACGCTCTGCACCTGGCTCTTCTTGATGGTAGTAAGGTCACCCTTTAGCCTCTGAGATTGGCTCCCTTTAAGCCTAGCGAGATGGCAGAACTGAGCAGTCCCCTGCAAGGGTTCCATGCTCTTTATTTGCATTATTAGCAGGCTGTCCAATCCCCTTGGTGGGCTACAAGCACCTTATTTGCATAGTCCCACCCAGTCATTTTGTGGGAGTCACAAGACCATGGCTAGAAGGGCCATAGTAAGTAATTTACTGCACTGCACAGGTGGACTAGGATTTTAAATGTCAAAAGCTAACTTTTTTGTTTGGTAGAAAATGAAGGTGAATCTTTCTCACCTCAGGGTAGGGGAAAAATTTTTAAAACATCAGTCATTAAAGTGATAAATTATAGTACATTAAAATTAAGGATTTACTTTAAAGAAAGTGTTTACAGCACATAACAAACGATTGTTACTGGTTGCTGTTTACTCCAACTCATGGCAACCCCATGTGTTACAGAGTAGAACTGCTCCATAGGGTTTCCTTGGCTGTAATCTTTATGGAAGCAGGTTGCCAGGCCTTTCTTCCATGGCACCGCTGGGTGAGTTCTAACCACCAACCTTTTAGTTGGCAGAGGAGCACAAACCATTAGCTCTGCCAAGGGGCCTAACAAAGGATTCGTATCAGTAAATTACAGGTCAGTAAGAAAAAGACAGACCAGCTGACAAATGGGCAGACAGAAACCACTAACAGTAATTCCCAGAGCATGTCTGACCAGTAAGGTGCCAGAGTCCAGCCTGGCAGAGGCCAGGAGTCTGTCCGCAGACAGTGATTGGTCTAGGTTACCTCTGGGCCAGGGCGTGGCTCCTGGGAGCATGGACTGGTGAAAGCCACTTTGGCCAAATCGGGGTAGAATTGAGGTACATTCCATGTGCGTGTGGGTAGGCGGGAGACAGGACAAGGACAGTGGTGTCCCTCCATGCATTGGAGTCCCAGGTTGGGAACCACTTAGTTCACTGTCAGGACTGGAAGGGATACACCGATGGTCGTTCATACAGCATCAGCAACGGACAAGCTCCTGCCTAGCAAGGAAGCTCCGTGTTGAGTGAAAGAAGCAATAACAAAAGACAGAGTGCGATTCCATTTATATACGTGAATCTCAGAATTCGGCAGAAGAACCACTGCTCAGGGCGCGTTCAGCAGTCCTGAGACTGTGAAAGGGTCTGACGACTACAAAGCTGGACCGCAGTCTCCTCCTGGGGGAGGGTGGGCCGCCATGTCTGGTCTCCTCACTTGGGGCGGGCACCACAGCGTGGCAGTGTCATTGGTCACCTGAACACACGACACCCTGCACACAGGGCCCGTAGGGGCAGCCTGGGTTTTGTGCCCAGTGCTGGAGGAACTGTGGGCGGCTCTGCGGTGGTGGGGACTGGGTTTCCCTGGCCGACCTTCAGCAGGAACATGACACCGTGTTTGGAGACTTCCTGAGTGGCGCCGATTGAGGGTGCCCATGGAAGCACCCTGCCCGGCAGCGGGCACCGCAGCGCTCTGCTTCTGGCCCGGCGCTCGGCACCCAGTCTGTGCTTGAATGGTTGAGCACCCCTAAGTTCCACCTCCCGGGTGAGTGACGACACCAGCCACCGCAGGTGGAATCATGCTCCTCTGCCCACAGGGAGCTAGAACGGCAGGAGCTGCTGAGCTGTGCCGAGGTTGTGCAGACAGTAGCCTCTCCTTCGTGTAACACAAGGCTGGCGGCCCGTTGCCTGGGTGGCTGGGCGCCATGTGGGTTGCAGGACCAGTGGGCGTGGCCACTGCCTTCCCTGACCGTTTGCCTTTCTGTCTTCGCAGATTCTGCTTGGATTCCGCGCGACAGACCCGGCAAAGACTGTCCATCAACTGGTCCAATTTTAGCTTGAAAAAAGCCACGTTTGCTGCCCACTGAATGACGACCGCTGAAGAGGGCACGGGCGCGAGCCTGGCCGAGTCCCTGGAACACTGACCCTCGCCAGCCCCAGCCCTGGGGTGGCGCGGTGACTCCCCGAGTCCAGCTGGCGTGCCTGTAGTCTGTGAGTGCGACTGTGACTGTAGCTCTGTGCCGTTGGGGTTGGACAGTAGCTTCCCGCCAATTCCTCCAGCCGCCTCGGCCTCGGACACTTGAACCGGCCTCCCGGGCCTGGCCGGCCCAGCGCGAGTGTGGCCGTCTGCGTGGCTCCGTCGCCTCTGCATCTCACCATCCTGTCACCCGGTCCCCTGGGGGCCGGCTGTCACTCACGCTCGCTCCCCGTGTCCCCAGCCGATTCGCGGGGTCCAGGGCAGGCGGTCTTCCGTCTCCTCCACAACGTCCTGTTTGAGAGTGTACACGTTCCGCTATTTGTGTTTGACCCCCCGACTCGTAGCCAGCTTGTGTAAGATCCCTGCAGAATGAGAAAGTTCAAAACGAAAAATCCCCCCAGTACTCACACCGCCATCGAGTCTGTTATAGAGTGTACAATTGTATTAACACGGAGGCCTGCCTGGCTACTTTTTTAACATATTGTTAAGTAATATTAAAATCATGTCTTTCTTTTTGAAAGATGGAATACATTAGTATGGCAGAGGACCTCGTCTGGTTGCTTTCTGCTAGGGATGGGGGTGGCCATGGGGAGGTGGGAGTGGGGCTGCTGGTCATAGCCTCTCGCCGGGGCCCCAGGGCCACCACTCTCTGAGGCATCTCCCGAGGTCGCCCCAGGCAGCAGCCTAGGGTTCCTGCTGCCCTGACCACCCTTCCAGGTGGGTGCTAGGTGCTGGGGTGGAGCAGAGGTGGGAGACAGCAATGAAGTATTAGTGGTGTGGTGTGTGCATTACAGGGTGCAGCATGTGCATTAGTGAATGGTGTGTGCATTACAGGGTGCTGTATGCATTAGTGAATGGTGTGTGCGTTACAGGGTGCTGTATGCATTAGTGAATGGTGTGTGCATTACAGGGTGTTGTATGCATTAGTAAATGGTGTGTGCATTACAGGGTGCTGTGTGTGCATTAGTGTGTGCATTACAGGGTGCAGTGTGTTCATTGCAGGGTGCTGTGTGCATTAGTGAATGGTGTGTGCATTACAGGGTGCTGTGTGCATTAGTGAATGTGGTGTGTGCATTACAGGGTGCTGTGTGTGCATTAGTGAATGCATTACAGGGTGCAGTGTGTGCATTAGTGAATGTAGTGTGCATTAGTGAATGCATCACAGGGCGTGGTGTGTGCATTACAGGGCATGGTGTGCAGTAGAGAGTGGTTTGTGCATTACAGGGTGCTGTGTGTACATTAGACGTTGTGTGTGCATTGGAACGTGTGTGTGTGCATTAGAGGGTGCAGTGTATGTGTTTGAGGGTGTTGTGTGCATCCAGATGCATCGTGTGCATTAGAGGGTGCTATGTGCAGCAGAGGGTGTGGTATGTACATTACAGGGTACAGTGTGTGCATCACAGGGTGTGGTGTGTACATTACAGGGTGCAGTGTGTGCATCACAGGGCGTGGTGTGTGCAGTAGAGGGTGCTGTGTGCATCACAGGGCGTGGTGTGTACATTACAGGGTGCTGTGTGCATCACAGGGTGTGGTGTGTGCAGTGGAGGGTGCTGTGTGTGCATCACAGGGCGTGGTGCGTGCAGTAGAGGGTGCAGTGTGTGCATCACAGGGCATGGTGTGTGCAGTGGAGGGTGTGATGTGTGTGCAGTGGAGGGTGTGGCGTGCACATGTATGAGCTGTATGCCTGCCAGTGGGTGTGGTAAGAAGGAAGATGTAGCAGGTAGAGGAAAGGACGTTGGAGCAGCAAAGTTTAGATTGGCTGCCTGGGGAAGGCCTTGCTGAGAAGGGGTCAGTGTGGGACAGAGCAAGCAAGAGAAGGATCAGCAGGGCCACGTCACACGGCCTTGGAGGCAGGTGCTGATTGGTGCTTTGGCGTAGAGGTTGCTATATAATACAAAACTATAAATAACACACTGTATGTAAATTAGGTACAAAGTATTATTTAAAATGAAAAAAGAAATCCCAACTTGATGGGCTGATAGCAGCCTCTGGCTGTGATCTAGCTCCCGCTCACCTCCTAGAACACTCCATGGCTCCCATTGCTCCGACCTCAGGATAAGCTGCCTCTGCTACGCACTTTTGCCTGTGGGGAGGGATGTGGAGGGAGGGGGTTGTCTCTGCAAGGACTGGACGGCGGCTGTGGCAACCTAGCCGGCACTGGGTCTTAGCAGGGCAGAGTGTGAGAAGGCCAGGCTTCTGGAAATATTTGACAGCAGCGCTTCAGGATTCCCCGATGGCCTGGATGTGGGTGGGAGAGCCAGAGGGGTGGAAGGTGATGGTAGGAAGGGCTGGGGGCTCAGTTCTGGGAAGGCTGGGTCTGGGATGCCCACCAGACACCCAAGGGAGATGCAAGGGCAAGGAGTACACCAGACACGTGACACGTGTGTCTGGAATTTGAGGGGGCTGCTGGTACAGTCAGGAGCCCGTGTGAGACCCAGGAGCAAGCAGACATCGGCAGCTGAGGGAGGAGGGAAGGGGCAGGAGGCTCGGCGCCACCGTGACCTTGACCAGAGCCCAGCTGGTTTCAGAGAGACCATGGTGGGGTTGGGTCAGCAGGTCCTGGCAACTCTCAGAGATTGGTTGCACAGGGAACAGAGAAAGGGGCAGGAATAGGGTAGGGAGGGGGGGTGGGGGGGTGGGAGTCCTTGCTTGTTTTTGTTTTCTGTTTGTGTTTTCCAGATGAGAGGAAGAACAGCGTATTCCTTTGCTCATGAGATGATTCAGAAACGGGAGAAACAAAGTCTCGGGCATGGCTACAGTGGGAGCAGCATCCTCAAGTGGACAACAGGGACCTGAGACTCGTGTGGGCAGCCAGGGCAGGGGAGCAAATGCCAAGTGGTTCACAGCAGGGCCTTCACACTCCAGGAGCTGCCCGCCCAGCCTCCCGGCCCCTGATGCCTGACCCTGTGCTCCACGGTGGTGCGGACAGTCATGAGGCTGTATTGGGGGCCTGGCCCACCTTGGACTCAGCTTCCCTGTCCACCCATTGGGGCCCCACCAGCTGCCAAGAGGGCAGTGAGTGGTAAGAGGGGGAGAAAATAAATTTCTTTAAGACCACCCCCTTGTGGTATTTGTTAGAGCAGTACTAGGAGACTAACACCCTGGGAAGACCCACACAGGGACCAGCAGCCTCACTGAGCTGAGGAAGCAGAGTCTGGCTGGAATTTGTGGGGCAGAGTTCCAGACAGCAGGACATGCACACAAAGCTCTGGATACCTGCACAAAGTTGCTCAAATATTTGGCCAAGTACTCATATGGGCATATATGGGATAAAACTCCATAAATTCTGGGAAAGAATCACCAGAAGGCATTAGGGCTGGGAATAGTTTGTTTCCACCAGCCAGAGTGGAGAGTCCTCAGAAGGGTGTCATCTTAGTGGGGTTAAATTAGCCCTAGAATAAAAGTTACTAAACCTGTCCTAACAAAGCCAAAAGCAAGCCTCAGAAGGATCAAATTGATCCTAAGCAACTTAACTGCCTGCTAGAACAAAGTCTAACACTCTTTAAAGGAATACAAAGATATCCCACGCTCAACAAAGTAAAATTGATTATGTTGACATCCAGTCAAAAATTAAAAGGTCATACCAACAAGAAGGAAAATATAAACCATGACCAGGAGAAATATCTATAGAAATAGACCCAGAAATGACAGATGATGGACTTAGCAGACAAGAACTTTAAGATAGCTACTATGAATCTTACAAATATGCTCAAGAATATAAAAGAACGCATGAACAAGATGAGGGGAGAAATGGAATATATATAAACACACCTAAATGAAATTTCTGAAGAAGAAAACTGCAACATCTGAAATGAAAAACAGCCTGGATAGGATTAACAGCAGATTAGAAACCAGAGAAGTAAACCATCAGTGAATAAGACGCCAACAGAAACTATTTAAAAAAAGTAGACGAGACGTGAGGGGTGGGGGTGGGGGGGCGGAGGTAGAGAGCCATGGAACAATATCAAGAGTCTAACATACCTGCTACTGTAATCCCAGAAAAGGTCAGGGTTGGTGAGAATGACTGAAGAAATGATAGCCAAAAATGTTCCAAATCTGATAAAAACTAAACAACCAGAATCTCAACAACCCCAAGTGGAAGAAACATCAAGAAAACCACACTAGAGCACATCACAATCCAACTGCTGAAAAACCGGGATTAAGAGAAAATCTTTGAAGAAGAAAAGACGCATTACAAAGGTAAGAATTGAGCAGACTCATCAGAAACTATGCAAGCCAGAAGACAAGGGAGTGACATGAAAGCACAGAAAGAAAACTGTCAACTTCAAATTCTATACTGAGTGAAAGAACATTCAAAAATGAAGATGGAGAAAAAAGAAAGATCTTAAATCACAGCCTAACTCCACAACTCCAGGAACTAGAAAGAGAAGAGCAAACCAAGCCCAAATCTACCAGAAGAATGGAAGTAACAAAGATCAGAGCATAAATAAATAAATTTGAAAATAGAAAAACAATAGAATCAGTAAAACCAGAAGTTCAAAAAGATCAGTAAAATTTACAAACCTTCAGCAAGACTGACCAAACGAAAATGCAAATAACCAAAATAAGAAATGAAAGAGGGGACATTACAACTGACCTGATAGAAATGAAGACAATTATGACAGAATATTATGAACAACTGTATGGCAACAAACTGGATAACGTAGATGAAATGGACAAATTCTTACAACCACGCAACCTACCCAAACTGACTCAAGAGGAAATAGACTCAACAGATCCTTAACAAGTGAAGAGATCAGATCAGTGATCAAAAACCTCCCAACACAAAAGAAGTTCTGAACCAGATGGCTTCACTGGGGAATTATACCAACCATTTAGAGAAGAATTGACACCAATACTGTTTAAACTCGTCCAAAAGATAGAGTAGGAAGGAATACTCCCTAATTAATTCTATGAAGCAAACATAACCCTAATACCAAAACCAGAGAAAGAGACCACAAGAAAGAAAACTACAGGCCAATATCTCCTATAAATATAGCTGCAAAAATCCTCAACAAACTACTAG